GTAGGTGCAAAGAACTTTGATATGGCTATTGCTTGTCCATTATTCACCTGTCTCTCAGACAAGTAAGTTGGGCCTCCTTGAATTTGAGATTTTTGTTTTGTTCTCTCCACCACTGCCACCACCACACACACACTTATCTAATCCCTTTTATAGTTGTCAGGTGTGATGGACAGGTACCTTCTACTTGTTCTGGCATCATGATCACAGAATGTGTGATTATTGTGTGTTGTATTACCATTGTGGACTAATTGTTCATTTGAAACAGTCATTATACCTCTGTTCTTTTTCTAGAGATAGGTAGAGGCAATTAGTTTTATCTTAATGGAGTCACTGGAAAGTTTCTAAGACCCCTCTTAAGACCCATCAATGCAGGATGCAGAAATTTTCCAGTGACTCCTTCTCTTTTTGCATTAGGTTAAGAAGTTTACATTAGGTTGACCCCTGGTGGCTCTACTGTATGAGTGGACACACTTACTATACACTTAAAAACACAATAGAGATGCTGACAAACATATATACAAATCATGACTACAATCCCTTTCATCTTCATATATTGCTTGTTTTTCACCTGTTCGTATAAAAATGTTTGTAAATATAGATATCATGCAATCCTATTTTTAAAACTTGTTTTACATCTCTCCATGTTTTTCTTTTCTTCAGTGATGCTAAATCAATTACCTTTTACATTGAATGTAGAATTCTCTTTATCCATATTCCTAAACATTTGTCATCTAATTAAAGGACAATGGTTACATAATTTGTAACATCCTGAGATGCTAACTGAAATGTTGGTGGTAAGAATTGATCAGAAGAAAGATGGCCTCATTTTTCATTGTTTGAATAAAACAATTAATCTCCTGTAAGATTACATTCTCAGATACCCAAGAGAATATCCGTGGGTTGTAATAAACTTGAAGGAAGTGGATAATTCTCTAATTAATTAATTTTGTCTTTCTTCTCCTTCCTCTCCTGTTCCTGGGAGCCAACAAAGAATATGTATGTGGGTAACATATCCTTAACTTTTCAATGAAGTACACTTATGTCTTATTTTGCAATTATTTACTAACTAAACATATTTCCCCTAGATTTTCTATGTTAAGGGTGTTTTGCAAATTATTCGTTATGCTTAAAATGCATACTATTTTTTTTTATTTTCTTCTGATGAATTTTCCCCCCTTTTGTACTGGTTTATTTACAAAGTTTGAATACATTGTTTTCATACTGGAACTTTCCCATTTCCTTCACCTCCCTCCATTAGATTGTACGATCCTACGATTAACCAGTCTTCTCACCCACATATCCTCACCCCTCTAATTCCATGCTCCCTGCCCTTGGATCCTCATGCTCATTCTACTATAATGGTTTTATACACTATTTGACCTTATTGGACTGAGTTCACTCAGCATAATGCTTTCTAGTCTCTCCCAAATTAGGTAGTAATTTACAAAATCATTGCTCCTGCAGCTGCTTAGTATTCTATTGTGTATATGTATCATAGCTGTTTATCCATTCATTTGTTGATGAGTTATTTTGGCTAATGTGCACAATATTATTAAGAATATGTTGTACATGATCTGTTCATGCCGTGTCTCATATGTCTTTGGGATGTATACCTTTTATTAGGGAGCTATGGTACCTTAGAGGTAAGGTAAGGAATTGTGCTGCCAGCCAAAGGCATATGGTTTGAATCCACCAGTTTCTCTGTGGAAGAAAGAAGGGTAAGCTCCTCCTTTGGAACTTCCTTTCTCTGAGACTCATTAGAATTAGCTATGAGCTATTTCTGACTCGATGATACATAACAACAACCAAGTGGTAAAATCAGTGGGGTTAAGTCTTTTTTTATTTCCACATTTTTTTAAACAAGAACTCACTTGTAGGCAGTTAGAATATTTCACAATCTCTTCAGCGCTTTTTGAGAGTTCCTATCTCTTTACTCTCTCATTGGTATTTGTTATTTACTATGTTTTTTAATTTTGCACTTATTGTTGCAGTAAATTGGTATCTCATTACTGTTAACTTAATGTGTTCATTAGTTTTTTAAATGTTTTTCCTTCACAACTGGAATGTCATATTTGGTAGAATATTTGCTCATATCCTCTGACACTTTTTATATTTAATTGCTTACTATTTTATTATTTAGTGTTGAAGTTTCTATACTTTATCAGGTTAGTGCCTTGTTGGACACATTGAATAATGTTCTTCTCATCCTGTAGATTCTTTTTGGTTATAGAACTTAGTAGATGTGCATGTGAGTAAAATGTTTCACAAGGTCTTATTTGTATATAATATACTCTGCTCTTTGTGTATTGTTTCCTTCCTTTGATTTGCATATACTCATTCATGTACATTGTGTTTTATATAATTAGTTACTATCAATAAATGTCTCTTATCATTCCATCTCATCAAGTCCACAATGTACCTTACCTACTTCTTCACCTTTACCACCACAATCTCTCCACTAATTTCTGCAGTCCTAATGCTTTCCCCCATTATTCTTTTTGTCCTTCTTTTCCTTTCCCCCTCCTTTTTTCACCAGTATACACACACACTCACATACACACATACAATTTCTGTTTGCTAATTGCAATAGACTTAATAGCTTTACATCGATTCTTCCTACTTTGATCCTCCCTTGTTCAGGTCCTTCTTACTGTTGATGGTCTCTTCATTCTATTTGTTTTACCATCTCCCCTTCTCCCTCCTCAGTTACTCTCCTATTTTCACAGTAGTGGTGTCACACAGTATTTGGCCCTTCTCAACTGAGTTATTTCAGTCAGCGTAATGCCCTCTAGGATCTCCCATGTTATGTATTATTTTATGATTCCTTCATTGTTCTTACTTCTGCACAGTATTCCACTTTGTGAATGTACCTTTATTTCCTGATGAGTATTTGGGCTGTTTCCATCTCCTTGCCATGGTCCATATTGCTGTGATGAAAATAAGTGTAAATAACTCTTTTCATATATAAATTCTGATTTTCTTGGTCCTAATAGTCCTAGTGGTGGTTTGGCTGGGTTATGTAGATTTCCATGTTTATCACTTTGAGGAAATGCCAGAATGCATTCCATAGTTAGTTGTTTCATCAGTCTTTCCACATCCTCATCACCCTCTAGTGTTTGCTATACTATTAAGCTTTGCTATTGCTTTCCTCTCCAGAGTGCTGAAGGGCAACAAAGTCAATAATGATAAGAAGGTGTGCCCAGATCTTTGCAATTACTTGTTTTACATCAGAACTGGAGAATGATTAAGGAAGACAGAGGAAGAATCTATGCCTTTAAGCTGTAGCAATGGAGAACAATATTAAACAAACTATAGACTGCCAAAATAACATGCAGATCTGTTCCAGAGAGGATGAAAACATGTTGTTCCTTGGAGGCAAGGATTTTGAAGTTGCTTCTCACATATTTTGGTCATGTTTCCAAGAGGAATCCATCCTTGAAAAAGGGCATTCTACTTGGAAGTATGGAAGGATAGATAGCACGGGAGAGGAAGACCCTGGATGAAATTAATTGACACAGTGCCTGTTGTAGTGGTAATAGGTATATCAGAGGCAGTAAGATTGGCTCAGAATAAGTAGGGTTCAGAGCTATTGTTCATAGAGTTACTATGAGTCATAGTTTACTAGAGAGTATGTGATAACAATATTGTTGCTGAAGTGAGATGGGATCTCAATTTTTCAATCTATGTTGTTCTTATTGCTAAGTATTTTTGGACATTTTCTCATATTTTTGTTAGTCATCCTCATATCCTTTTTGGTTGAGAGTCTTTTAAAGTTTTTTGCTCATTTTGTAATTGAGTTATCAGTAATTTTCTTTGAAGCTCCTGTGGCATGCTGTAAATTTTAGTTATAAGTCCATTGTCTGAAATGTTGTTGCCAAATACTTTTCCCCCAATCAGTGGTAATTCTTTTCACCCTAAGGAAATTTGATTTGATGCACACAGAGGTCTATTTTTTTATTCACTTGCATACATTCACATCCTTTGTGTTTCATTCATATACATTGTATTTTCTATAATAGTTTATATAGGCTGTGATTGTATATACTGTAATTTATACGATTAATTACTATTGATCTATACTTTTTGTCACCCTTTTTCTTCAAGATTCCATTGTGGTATTCTTATTGTTTCTTGTTGCATTTTATGAATGTAAGAAATAATTTTTATGAAAATATTATTGTTTATTCTTCACTTCATGCATTTTTGTTATATTTGTTA